GGCCATGGTCAAAGGTCATGTTCAAAATATTAGACATGTTCACAATATATGCAGCTACCTGAAAGGATGCTGATAACAAGTCCTAAGCGATGGCCATAAGTGCCTTGTCATTCACAATCTCCAAAACAGACCTTGCAGGAGAACTGAGGTTCACATCAGCTTCTGGGAAAGAAGGTGCGGCCGGTGTAGATGATGTCATTGGCATAGAAGTCTCAGACTGTAAAACTGTAAAACTGTAAAACCAATGGTAGCACTGATCCTGGAAAAAGGTGGCTGATTATGCTGCAACCCATAAGCCATAGAAAATAGCAAGTAACATCCAAGCGTGTAGTTGATTTTGATTAACAATGCCAGCGGTATGACAGGGTTAAGATTGATCCCATGTTTCATATTTCAATGGTCATGTAATATAACTGCATGATGTTGCCAACATTGGCTTGATAGTGCAACAACCACGTCAGTTAATATGAGTTAATATGGGAGGAGATCCACTTTACTACAGACCTTTTTACATAATCTAATAACTATTTAGTTGTGTTATGAACTTGTATGTTTATGTTTTAAGGAAATGGTTCATATTAGTGTGTTTCCATAAACATACAAATAAATCCTAGCCCCAACATCTGCCACCCCCATATATTTTTACATAGAATGCAATACAAGAGAGTATTGATACAGGCATATTGTACCTTTCCCTCATATTATCAACTAAATATACATACACTTGGAAAGTTGATATATATTATCTAATCATTTCCATTTTGAACGAGGAAAACAATAATTAAATCTATGACTATTATCAAAATAATAATTTATTACATCAGACCTGATTTTTGGTGTAAAAAACTTTTGGCAATTCGAAATCTGCTCTTAAAAGGTCGTACAATGATGGACCGGACTGGCACCGTGGTGTAGTGGAAAGAGTGTCTGCCTGGATACCCGTACTTGTGAATGTCTTCCATATTAGACAACAGCTGTTATACTGTCTAAAATACTGTTTGTCCCAGTTTCCAATTTTGTATTCGGTATAACCAAACACATTGTTTGGTATTTGTATGTGAGTGTGCAATTCCCTTTTTGACTTGCACCATATGTTCCCGTGTTTTTCAGGTGAACAATTGACCTTCCTTTTCATGTGTTTGTGATGGGTGCCACATGTTTATGATATGATTGGCATCCTACAGTGGGCAGTGTTATTAGCTGATATTACTTATGACCATGAACATGATTTGATCCCTTTTATCAACACACACCGATGTGTAACTCACATGCTGTACCACAGAAAAAAATAATTATCCTGATAAATTCAAGATATTGCACATTACCTTGTAACCTATTATCTGGTACATCAAATATAACATAAATACTGGCATAGATCATGCTTCATAAATCAAACACACCTTTCAAATCGTTATAACCATACAATCTATACACGTAATGCTCTCTCTATGACATCCTTAGTTTTTCTCACTTATTTCATTTTGAATTTAAAACAGTTGACAACTTCAGATTAGGTTATGGAACATAATAAAACAAATTTATTATGCTGATGGCTGAGTTCACAACAAGCACCAAATACATCATACCATATTAAATGTCTTTTATTCCTTTGTGTATAGTATGTTAGATAAACTGTAAAAAGCGCTGTCACTTCAGTTACCACACCATGTGAAAATACAGTGTCTGCATACCCAGAAAAGTACCTCTCTTTGTAAGGAATCGTTATGATGGCCACGCATATTTCTCCATTGGATTCCACTTTTTACTTTCATGAAAATAAGGATTGTCACTTTGGTTTTTTTCCTTTTGAGACTTTAACGCATGAGTGACCAACAGTAACAACTCGTCTGAACCGGGTCAACTGGAGGACAGAAGAATAAATTCTCAATGTTCTTGTCGGTGCAAGTGCAAAAACTGTTAACAATTAACCTGTTTCTAAATGAGATAATTTGTCCCTCATTACACTTGTATAATCCCTGAAGAAAGTTTATTTGTTTCGTTATGGTGTCCAAAAGAAAGTAATACAAAGTTTCCTTACGTTTGAAATACCCATGATATGACCGACATTCAATTCCGGTTAATGTCAAAGTGAATTAAATAGATCGGTGTAGTTGTGAAGTCACATGACCTAAATATAGCCTCAGTCCCACATTTGCTATAGATGCCTTTTAATGCTATTTTGGAATATTTCAACAATATAACAATAAATTAATCAAAATTGAGATAATCACCTAAACGTGACTTCTAAAAACATTTTCTGGCACACGTCATGAATTTATGTGATAGAGACTAATACTCATGGAATAATAATATTCCACAACAAACAGCTGATACTGTTGCGTGTCTATAAGTTCAGGATATAATGTTTATTTAGACAATGATTACACGACTGTTTTATTTATCTCTTTGAGAAGCATTCTAGCAAATGGAAAACAAATGTCACAAAATGAACATATTTTCTTGTCAACATTTTTTAAGAGCTAAGAGAGATTGCATTTCACAGGTATCCTAGTTATTGGACACATGCAGTGTGTACTGGCAATGGTAATACCATCAATAACATGACAGTCTAGTGTTAGCAATATTTTGGTGAAGAATGCAATGTATTAAGATCACACTGACATGCACTGGCCACATTCACATATGAAACACCTTTCCCAGTAGACACTTGTAATTATGACAATACACTTTTACATCTATAACTGAAACAATAGACTTGTGCTTCTGAGTAATATGTGATAGTGAATTCCACATTTTACGTCACTGCCTTTTCATGTATTTTATAGAAATACTTTCTGATCGTTATTTTATGTTTTTCTTTATAAGAAAAAGAGGTCAGATGTTCAAAACTTAAAATTAGTAAATCAGTTACAAAAAACAGGTGATCCTTCCCATCCCGAAGACTAGTCTGTTTTGTGCACAGATGAAGCCAGGTATTTATACTAAGAACTAACAATGGCGTTTGTGGTAAAGCATAAAACGTCAACGCCAGAGAATAACAAGTCTCGATTATCCACCGAAACACATTTCATTGTGTGTGAAATGCAACACAGGGGTGAAAATAATATGAGTGGATCACGGAAACTGTTCACAAAAAAGGTAAGCATATCCTACCCTACCGGTAGCATGGGCCACTCACATGATTTGCATAAAAACGTTTGTGTGTGTTGCACAGTAAAGTTTGTTTTTTTGGTTTCATTAATTCTGATAATGCGTCTTTTCAGTGAAATATACTCAACAACAAAAGTTCCTGTGACACCAATATTTTAGTGTATTTTTCAAACAAGCAAGTTTGGTTTTCAATATTGTAGTACATGTATGGAATCAAGTCACAAAAACGCAACTGCAACAGAAAAGCATGTATTCCATGCAAAAGTTCGACTTTTATGCAAGCCCCATGCATTTCACTACCCAAGAATGGGTATAAAACATGTGCATTAACGGGATTCCATATGCATTGTTTAGCATTGTGCTGACAACAACCAGTCAGAAAAACAACAAAATTACGCAATTATTCAACATTACGAAATGCCACGCCTGTCCGAAAATGAGCGTCTGCGAGCCATTGGTATGCTTGAAGCAGGATCGAGTCAACGTGATGTTGCAAGACAATTTAACATCCACAAAAACACCATTTGGTGTTTGTGGCAACGTTGGCAATAGACGAATGCGGTCAGAGACCATCCTCGAAGTGGCAGGCCACACGTAACCAATAATCGACAAGACAACTGGATTCGAACAACACACCCAAGAAATTGATTCCAGCCAGCAACAGTGACTGCAAGAAGCATCCCTGTCCTTCGACATAAATCTTCACAAACCGTACGTCGCTGCATGATATGTGCAGGAATTGTCGCCAGAAAACCCGCCAGACGTCCCATTTTGACAGGACACCACCGTCTAGCACGTCTACAGTGGTGCAGACAGGATCTTCGCTGGACGGCCATGCAGTGGGGACAAGCTCTATTCACTGACGAATCTCGTTTTCACCTCAGCCACAGCGATGGACGGATTCGAGTGTACCGACGTCGAGGTGAACGTTAAGTCAATCATTGGGTCATGGAAGATCGGATCTGGGGCGGCAGCGTTATTGTATGGGATGGGATTACAGCAAGACAGAGGACCTGTTTGATAGTGGTAGAGGGAAATCTCAATGGACAGCGCTACCGCGACGAGATCATCGGCCCTGTTGTTATACCGTTTTTGCGTCGTCATGGCCCAGACATTACCTTTCAACATGACAACGCCCAGCCTCATATTGCTCGACTTGTTCAGGATTCTCTTCAACAAAATAACATGAATGTCATCCCCTGGCCGGCTTGTTCCCCTGATCTCTCACCAATCGAGCACATGTGGGATGAGATGGATCGGAGCCTTTGACGTGTTCCACAGACACTCCAGGAACTTCGAAACATGCTCCAGTAGATATGGACAGATATCCCACAGGACTTTGTGCAATGCCTGGTCCATTCCATGAGACGAAGATGTGTTGCTTGCATCGCAACCAGATATGGACACACACGCTATTGATTTGTAAATTGACATTTTGGCATGTTCATGTTTTTTAATGTAATCACGCATTTTCTGAAGTTAGTATGGCAAATTAAACCATTTGAACACTTACAGGAGCCTTTTATCTGTAGCAAACCGAAATTGTTTCAGATTTGGTAAACAACATAACTTTGCATTAAATCTTTTTCAATGTCACAGGAACTTTTGTTGTTCAGTATATATATATATATATATATATTGATATTCAGATTCACTTAACTGTCACCACTGTACCTGATTTAACTGTTCGTTTTTCAAAACTTGCGCTTATCAATATTTCCAAATTCTGTTAGACAATTATAAGCACAGAGTTAATCCTGTTTTGTTTGTGAAATGAAAACTGTTTGAGGAAATGTGATTGAAAGAACGTATCAGTTTATGGATTCCAAATACATTATAATGACATTTTTACAAATAGTATTGTACAATCAGTGGGGCCATATACTCACGTATGACATCAAGCACCTGTCCACAGTCAGACATCTGATCCCCTCTAGAGCCTGGTGAACCCCTGTAACAACTGTAGACACCATGGTCAGAATTCCACACAACATCATACAGCAGGAAACTGAACACACCAGATCCTGACGAGTCAATGTTCCCAGTAAACTCTGCTCTTGTCCTGTACGTGCTAGTGATGTCCACCTTGTTGTAGTTTGTCACATGGATCACAATATCTGATGAATAACGTCTCACTGTAAACTCCCTGACAGCAGGCTGGGGTAGTCTCCAGGACAAGGTTGCATTACTTCCTTGGCGAGCATATACCACTGCAGCAGCTGAAACACAACACAGCGTCTGTACTTTTGGGAACTGGTTAATCAACCAACTGACCATCAAAATTAATCGGTTTGTCTCATTTTGCTGTTTTTCAATGTAACTTTTAGTGACACCAGATTATAAATATACAAACAACAAACACAAATACATACTTCAGTACTTTATTTTTCAACATAGACACTTTCTCACAATTTCCGTCAAGTTGTTCAGAAAGATTCGAAATTGTTATATTTGATGACTGCAAATTGCTTTCAGTTTCTTGGTGGCTTTGGACCTTCTATCAATCTTCGTATATTTCATCTAATCAGATCACCCTCGTCATCTGGGTTTACACAGTATAAACAACATGTTAACACCAAATATTCTCAAATAGTTAAACTAGTATTTATTTTACTATGTTACAACTGGAGATAGAATATGTTCATGCTTATTTGTATATATTCACGTTATATTCTAAACACATCATATCCTGTTCAGTTTCTTGTTTCTTTCTGTGACCATATCTATCCTACCCTGAATGTTTAGAATTGCACACAACTCTTAACTCCTCTCTTTTCTTAGACATCCCAAAGGGTACTGGTGTTAAATTAGGCAGATTTTGGGGTCATTGAAAATTTATTGATTTTCATTCCCCATTAGAGATGAACAGCTGGACAGGCAATATCTATTGATATTTTATTTGATATAACTAGGATCTTATTTCGTATGATCATATGAAAGTGGATTTCTTATGATCATATGAAAGTGGAGAGTGATAAATGTGCAAAATGTGCTCACTACTGACAGAACACAATGGCATAGAAGAAAGATAATGGTATAATATTGGTTGATTAAATACACTAGGTTTTTTTCATTGAGATTAGAATTGATTTTTTCACAAGAGACATCTATCATACTATCAAGGTGTTTTAGTCTTATTTACTTCTCATACCAAGGACTCCAATATTGGCCCGTTCGGGATCAAACCACTTTCAACAGGATTCACATATGAGATTTTAGGGACTCAGAAAACAAATGAAAACACAAAGCTAGAAACTAGACTAAAAACGGACTGACGTAGGACACCAAAGGATATACAAAGCCTCCAATATATGCAGTTTTATTAAATACTCGACTGTCTGGTTGGTTGGAGAGCAATACTATGTAAGCTGATGAACAAAATGGTTTCCGAAAGAGAGATAAAATCTATAGGTTTTATCTACTTTAATTCAAAATAGAAAAACCTGAAAACAATCAACTTTTGCTAGTTTTAATGATTGAAAAAAGGCATTTGATACTGTTAAAAGAGATAATATGCAGTTCAATCTGCGGGTGTAAAAGTTAAAATACTAGACGCCATACAATCTCTATATCGTGATGTAAATTGTTTTGTCAAATTGAATGGATATTTCACTGAACGTTTCCCTGCTTATCAAGGAATAAAACACGGCTGTAAATTCTCCCCTACTTTATCTTCTGTGTACATTCACGATTTGGTTGAATGTATTAATAATCTCAATTGTGAGGTTCAAATAGACGATGTAATATTATCATTGTTGTTGCATGCTGCTGATGTCGCGCTCATTGCTCCAGATGAAGCGTCTCTACAATCTATGCTTAATGTCTTAAATGATTGGTGCAAACGTTGGCAATTAACTATAGATGGTAGCAAGATAAATATTGTGCACTTTAGATGTCCTTCTGTAACACGACCAGAATTCAATTGAATTGTGATGATGTCACATTACAGAATGTTGAATGTTAAAGACATCTTGGCTTATGGTTCAATTACTTCTAAGATGTAGGCAAGACTGTTAGGAAACACTATAAGTCTCTGGTTGAACCAGTCGTGTGTTATGGATCAGAAATATGGGGTATAAACAAATGTTTGCAAGTTAATATCACAGAAAATATCTAAGTGTACATAACACCACCTCCAATCTTTATGTTAATGGTGCATTGGGCTTGCCTTACTTATTCATATAGATCATACTAATGTTTTAAGAGAAGATTCATGAGGCAGAATTTGCTCTATGGTTTTTAATTGGTCTAAAATGACTGTAATTATTCAGCCAGGAGAGTAGACAAAAAGCAAACAGCTGCAATTCAAAAATATTTTATATTTCAAAATTTGCAAAAAAATATTTTGGTTAAACAACGCTTTTACGACGTTAATAACTGGATAAATGATTAATGGGATTATCGCAGGTCAGTAATTGGCAACAAACTAAGAACATAAAGACAGTTTAAATCTTTTAATACCATTGAACCTAATGTATTGCATATATATTTTAGAGACCAGCCCCGAGTTTTAGCAATGTTTAGATGTGATTTCCTGCCTCTTGCCTTTCAGCAGATATGATTTGTACACATTGTTTTAACTCTTTTAACATTCACTCTGTTGAAGATGAGAGGCTCTTTTTAATTGGTTGTCTTTTGTATTTTGATTTGAAAGAAGAATTAATTTTGGAAGCAAGTAATAGTATTCCACATTGTAGAAATCTTAACGAAAAGGATCAGTTAATTAATGCAATGAGAAATATTATATTCAACTAATCGTATCAAGAACACTTCTCAATATATATAAACGAAATCTTTCGTTCATGTAAACATTTCTTTTTTTATCGTTATTCTTATTTAGAATTTTTTTTATTACATTTTATTTATTTTGAACATGAATTGTGATTAAAATGTACATACTTAAATCATATAGTCTTGTAAAATTAAATACAATGCTGTCAGCGTATCTCAAAGTTGAGCATTACTTAAAATTCACTTGGCCCGTGAAGATTCGGGGTGGAATAGGTATTCAGCAACCCATGCTTGTCGTTAAAGGCTACCGACTGTGCTTGTCGTAAGAGGCACTCAGCAATATTCCAGCTATATGACGGCGGTCTGTAAATAATCGAGTCTGGACCAGACAATCAATTGTTTGACATCATGAGCATCGATCCACGCAATTTGGATAGATGACATGCATCAACCACGTCAGCGAGCCTGACCACCCGATGCCGTTAGTCGCCTTTTATGATAAGCATAGTCGCCTTTTACGGCAAGAAGTGACATGTCAAAAACTCTGTGAATCCGTGTCACTTGCTAACGTGTAACATTACTCAACACACATGGCTGAGTGATTAATGATACATGGACTGCTGGAATACATTATGCAACAATCTACTGCAGGTACATGCAGTTGTAGTGAGATGAGTGACTGCAGGTGAGAAAATGGACAATTTCTTTGGTTAATTAGCACGAATTGTCTCTGAAGATCATTCGCTGTTTATCTTTGAAAGAGCAAGGTTTGAGAAGGGACCCACGCCCCTAAAATTGAAAAACAAACCTTACAATGTTCAAATTTTATAACTGACGTTAAATCAAGGTAACTTGTCACGCCCCCAATAGCCATACTCTTGACCCATAATTAATCCATACCGGTACTATATATACAACACAGGTGTCCGAACAACAAATGAAACGATCCAGATATATTCTGTACCAATGTCCAATGCCAAATCAGCTTACAGGCTAATTAAGCCACGCCACCTCGTTAGCGCTTTTTAGATTCATTTTGGTTGTTACAAATACACACATCAGAATACGTCCTTTAAACTAAGCGCAACCGTGCTAAGTCTGTGACAATTTTTCAAGATACTGTTAATAGATGTGACCAGTTACACCTTTCTAAACATGAGAAACACACATACAATGTAAAATGATTTTCAACATGCTTAATATATCTCCATGTTGAACTGCATATATATCTGCATCTTCGCATCCGACATGGGTGGAAGCAATACACGATATTATATCTAAAGTTTTGTATTACAATATGTCGCCACTGTCGCTCTACTTCTGGGCCACTAACGCGATACTTCGCGCCATTTATGCGCCACTTTCGCAGCATTTTCTAGAAACTTTCGCGGTATTATCGCGGCACTTTCTAGCCATTTTCGAGATACATTCACGGCACTTTTGCGAACGTATCGCAAAACTATTTTCACGATACAGGGTAAGGAACTTTGGAAATGTAGTTTATATGTCCCTGTGGCATGCAGGGGGTTAAGCATGATTCTATTTGTCAACTGCTGATCTTCCCTACTTTAGGAAGACAATAACGATCTAATCCTTCCAAAGCTGAAGCTGCTGGAGAAAAGCAGCCATCGTCTTTTTTCCAGCAAGGTGTGAGAAAACATGAACACGGAGACAACAACCTGTGCTTCATTCAATAAATGCCTCAAGAATAAATTACATGTTTTCAATGTTTTATACGGGGATGCTATGTTATTCATGGAAAGATGGGTTGGCCTACAACTTGTCTTTGCGACGAAATAACCAATCTCGGGATTACATTACCGGATGTCCTGACAAACGTTTCACGCCTCTGGTCCTATAAGCATTTAAGAAGAAGACCTTTTAATCTTACAAGTTTTTACTCAAAGATGGCTACATAGTGAAATTTCAATTTCTGATGCCTTGAACAAACTTTAAGCCTCTTATATCAACAAACATAGACACAATTTCAGCTAAATCTATCAATCTATTTCAAATAGCTGAGAAACAAACAAACAAAAACAATCTCCGACATTCATACAGTTTGGTAACTCAAACACTACTCAAAGTTTGCTAAGGATCACCACTTGAAAAGGTAGTAAGTATACTTGTGTACATCTGTTGAAACAACCAAAGACAATATTGCGTGAAGACGTGTTTCATGAACAAAAGTCCGTTTTCACGCGCCAAACAATGCCAACAAACAACATGTGACAAATAATCAGTTAGATCACCTGTCAAAATAAGAGTATCTGACCAAAACTTAAAAGCGTATGTATGTGATCCATGTGATGCGATCAGAGCCTGGAACCATCGTCTCATGCTCCCAATAAGCGCCTGGGTTGATGCCAAGGGAATATGGTTCCACTTTCAAGTTAGATCATTGCCGGGTGTAGTTGCCAAAAGGACAAGTCGTTGTGAGAGCAGCTCGTTCAGTGCCGAAATATGGCATAAAAACCGACGTTTTCGTGTTTGCAGTGCCATGTGGAACGATCGATTCACGTTGCGATGGCCGAACGTTCGCTTACATTTTGACAGTACCTGGAAATCTGAATAAAGCGACA